TGCTGAAAATTTGTTCGATATTTCGTAGGATGTTTAAGAAAATGGTGCAGGTCTCGTGTTAGTTGTTTGGTGAAAATAGTTATTTGGGGTAACGATTCTCAAAAATGACTGCTGGTTTTAATTAAATTTTGCTATTGGATATTCTAAAGGATGTTTAAGAGAGTGGTGCATTTCTCATGTTGGTTGAAAATACTGATTTTTGAAAACTTCCTCCAACTACCATTATGAAGATAAACATTTTCTCTAAATGAAATGTGTACATGGAAAGCAGATCTAAAAATGATGTCATGTTCAATTTTTCAAAAACATGAGTATATTTTGCAAAATTTTGTGTCAAACATTGGCAGTTTTTATTTTCTTTAACTCAGTTTTTCTTGAATAACGCAAATTATTTTATTAAAGTGAGATTGTACATAGTGTCAAGGATACTTTAGAGAATGGTGTAGGTCTCGTGTTTGTTGAAATGCCTAATTTTATGAAATTTTTAAAAAATGAAACATTTTTCGGTGTCTTTCTACAATTATAATGAATTATAGTGAATTTTCTTAATGAAGTGTGTTCATCAAAAGCTGATCTTCAAAGAAAGTCATGTTCATTTTTTTGAAAATATGAGTATTTTTTGTTTAACCCTAGAACACATAAGCAGAGCATCTAAGGCCCTGTGAAATATTATTTGGGAAATTATTTAAAATTTTTTAATCCTAGCTTATTTGCTTCTTAGGTATTCCTGGCATTATATTTCTTCTACAATTAGATTGCATAATCACCAGGATTGGTTTATTTATTTCCCAGTAATAGAGAAATTTTCATCTTTAGTACTTGAACGCTTAAGCAGGGCCTTTGGGGCCCTAGATGGTGTTCTCTATAATCCATTATTAACTGAGCTATATAAATTCGAGGAACGATGCATATTTGTTATCTTTGTTTCCACATTATATTTTCCTAGAACAGAGTCTGATAGCCTCCGATTGTTGATGCTACACTTTTACAATTTAGAGGTAAGTGAGCTTTGTGCAAGACAGTAGTAATAGAAGTGCGGTAGTGAGTGTCAATTTGATTAGAACCATGGCTTCTAAAAATTTTGAAGAGATTGTGACAGAGTGGCTTGAGGAGGAAGATGTACTCAGTGATGGGGAAAGTGAAGTTTCAGAAGTAGATGAAAACTATGTTCCCTTCGAGTCTACGAGATGTCAGCACTGCAACTTCCGATTCTGATGACAGCACATCTGCTAGTAATAATCCTAGCTATTCAAATCCAGCACCTTTTATAAGTCACAATGGAACTGCTTGGAATCATGAAACTCCAGTTTCTTCCCTCACTCCATCCCATAACATTGTAAGATATCTTCCTGCCTCCAAAAAAAATGTTACTACTGTTGATCCAAAACAAGCTAGAAATTACTTTATGTCTAATGAAATTATTGAAGAAAGTGTCCTTTGTACAAATTTGAAAGGCAAAATAATTTCAGCTCAGAAAAGTAAAATCTGGAAAAACGTTTCTGTGAATGAAATGAATGCTTTCTTAGGAATTCTTTTAATAGCTGGTGTGGAAAAAAAACTGGGATGTACCTATCAGAGAGTTATTTTTAGATGAAAAAGGAAATCCTGTATACAGGGCTGCAATGTCTGTAAATAGATTTGAAAGCATTAGAAAAGCAATAAGATTTGATGATCGCAGAACAAGACAGATTCATGTCGAAAATGATAAACTAGCAGCAATTTCTTACATTTGGGGTAAATTTCTGGAAAATTGCAGATATACTATTATTCCAGCAACCTTTCTAACAGTTGATAAGCAACTAATGTCTTTTAGGGGGTGATGCAACTTTATTCAGTACATGCCCAACAAATCAGCAAAATATGGAGTAAAGATGTTTTGGATATGTGAAGCAAATATCTCGTATGCCATTGATGGCTGCATCTACACGGGAAGGAAACCAAATGAGCCTGTACAAAAGAATATGGGTGCCAATGTTGTGAAGAATTTAGTGAAAACTATTGAAGGATCGTCGAGAAACATAACAATGGGCAATTTCTTTTCCAGTTTTTCCTTGGCCCAAGATCTTCTCCAAAAGAAAATTACAATTGTTGGCACACTTAGACTAAACAAACCTGAGATTTCCAATGATATGAAAGCCACTGCTTCTCGTGAAGTAAATTCTTCAATTTTTTGTTTCAAGGAAAGTACCCCTAGGGTCAGCTACGCTACAAAGACAAATAAAGTAGTAATACTGCTCACTACCATGCATCATAATCAAGCAGTAGATGAAAATAATGCAATAACAATTTTGCAACAAGACCAAAGGGGGTGTTGACAAAATGGATCAGATGGTAAGAAATTACACATGCAAACAGCAAACCTGTAGGTGGCTATTTGCTTTGTGGATGAATATCATGGATGTTGCAGCCTTGAATAGTCAAGTGCTTTCCTGTATTTTCCTGTATTTCTAGAGTACAACTCAAACAGATCAGACAAACACAGATTTTTTTTAAAAGATCTGTCATTTCAGCTTATTCAAGACTATATGTAAGAAAGGTCAAAAATCCCCAACCTTCCACAGAATACACGAGACGCAATGGCCAGATGTGGTACAAAACCACATACCGGAAATCTACAAACACAAGGTTTACTTCTGAGAAAAAGGTGTTCCTTCTGCCCATATAACAGGCACAGAAAAAGTAATATGGTATGTGAAAAATGCAAAAATTCTTCTTGCAAAGAACACAGCTTCATAGTTTGTAAAAGTTGTCGGTGAAATATGAATAATCATGTTCTGATTTAACACGTTTACTTTCAAATATTATTCTGGTTGTTTTTGTGCATTAACAAAAATACATTTTTCTGCAATATTAACAGTATGTAAAATTTTTATTCACCCCTGCCATCTTCAAAAGATCGGATTGGAATGCAACAATGACTTGGGAGCTGATTTCTGTGAATTACTTCTTATTGTTGGGACATGCTTTACCTATATGAAAAGCAGATATAATAGTCAAATTTGTGTTGATATTTGCTTGTAAATATTTAATTTTTGCACCAAATATTGTACAATTTGTAAAGTGTTTTACAGAAAATGATGACATTTGTTCATTGAGAGAGAAATTGTGGTATAAATAAAATTACATCACTATTACTATGAGAGTATGTGCTGTTGGAGCACCACTAGTTTCTAAATTTAGCAACTGGATTTATCCACGTATTCATTATCAGGGCTCTGCATTAAGAGTTTTGTCTGCCGATAATTTTCTGTTTTTTCGCGTGTTACATAATTTTTTGTCTGCTGTGGTAGCGGTAGCCAGAAAGTAAAATCCGAAAGGCGCATTAAGCAAGCTTAACACGAAATGAAAATTAAAACTTTGAAGGTAAAAACGATAAAAAAGACATTTAATAAAGAACAGCAATTTTGTGATTTTTTCCAAATGGAATCAGAGGAACATAATTATTTATTTTGTTTATAATTGCTTACGCAAATATATATATATATATATATATAGAGATTAGATAGATAGATACATACGATAGTAGATAGATAGATTAGTAGATATGATAGATAGATAGATAGATAGATAGATAGATAAGATAGATAGATAGATAGATAGAATAGATTAGATAGTATAGATAGATAGAATAGATAGATAATAGATAGATAGAATAGATAGATACCGATAGATAGATGAGATAGATAGATAAGATAGATAGATAGATAGATAGATAGATAGATAGATAGATAGATAGATAGAATAGATAGATAGATAGATAGATAGATAGATAGATTAGATAGATAGATAGATAGATAGATTAGATAGATGAGATAGATAGATAGAATAGATAGATAGATAGATAGATAGATAGATATATAGATAGATAGATAATAGATAGATAGATAGATAGATAGATAGATAGATAGATAGATAGATAGATAATAGATAGATAGATAGATAGATAGATAGATAGATAGATAAGATAGATAGATAATAGATAGATAGATAAGATAGATAGAATAGATAGATTAGATAGATAGATAGATAGATAGATAGATAGAGATATAAGATAGATAGATAGATAGATAGATAGATAGATAGATATGAATAGATAGATAGATAGATAGATAGGATTGATTGATATAGATAGATAAGATTAGATTGATTGAGTTTGATATAGATAGATAGATTGATTGATTGATTGATTGATATAGATAGATAGATTAGATTGATTGATTGATTGATATGAATAGATTGATATAGATAGATTGATTGATTGATATAGATAGATGTGATATAGATAGATTGATTGATTGATATAGATAGAATTGATATAAGATATAGATAAGATATAGATATAGAGATAGTATAGATTAGATATAGATATAGATAGATATAGATATAAGATAGATATAGATATAGATAGATATAGATAGATATAGATGATATAGATATAGATAGATTGATATAGATATAGATAGATATAGATAGATAGATTTGATATGATATATAGATAGATATAGATAGATAGATTGATATCTTTATAGATATAGATAGATAATAGAATAGATTTATTAGATATTATAGATATAGCATTATTAGATATAGTATAGATATAGATGATATAGATAGATATAGATATAGATAGATAATATATCTATATCTATCTATAGATATAGGATAGATATAGATAGAGATATAGATAGATAGTATAATAGAGCAATTATGTAAGTAATGCAATAGTGCTTGTAACACAGGGGAAAATGATAACTCAGGAACAGTACAGTGAAAAGACTGGGAAAATAAATTTGGGTTACTGGTGGTCATCCTGATTACTTCCCCACCATACCCTATAATTTTTATTATGTACTTTCATTCATTGATTTACCTGGTTGGAAAATTTGATTGTTCTTCACTTCAGAAACAATTAAAATTCTTTAATGCTTTGAATTCTGTTTTAAATGTTAAATATCTATTTATTCATGTTCTATATTTTAAAAAAAAATTATTTTTTACAGCTCCTGTAATGACAGAACAGACTACTATGAAGTTGGAAGACATCATTCGTCAACGAATTAAAGATAAGTCTTGGGATGATGTGGAGCGTAAGGTGAAACCTACAATGGCCCCAGATGAATACAAGAAGCAATTGGTAATGGACCAAGAAAAGAGTAAACTAAGTCTTGCAGATATCTATGAGCAGGTAAGGTAATCCTTTTTTTTGTCATTACTACTTTCTTATATACAGATGTATATACTGAGTAATATACATACTACAGAGAAAGTTATGTAATGTTGTGGAAATTCGTTATTGAAATTTTACCAGAAATACACATTTTGGGGTCTCCAATATCGAAAAAGTGTTGTTTTTGGATGTTGTTTTTTAAAAAATGTCTGTCCATCTGTATGTCATCTGCAAACAACACTAGTTCTTAAACCATGCATAGAATTTTTTTCAAACTAAATAAACTTCCGTCAATCTGGACTCTCTCTGCAATTTTGAAAAACATTCATTAATTTTACAGCGTTTTTACGGGACATTTTAAACACTGGGACATTTTAAAAACTTTCTCAAAAACGGCTCTAAATTTTTTTTACATTTGAATGTGAGAATAAAGTGAAATACACTTGTAAAGGTGGCATAGGTCTGATTTTTACTGTTGATTATATATTTTTGAAAATTGTAAAAGTTTCCAATTTTTTCGGTGCCTTCCTATGACTAAAAATTTAAGATGAATATATTTCTGTCAAAAAAAATACTTAGATCATTTGTTAAGATCATGTACATTTTGTTGAACATTTTAGTATTTTTTGTGTAATATTGCATGAAATAAGTGCAATATTAAAAAGTATCAGAAACAAGAATTTCTCAAATAGGGGCCAAATTTTTTCTTTTTGATATTGGTAGTGCTAAATATACTGTGTAAGATAACATAAACGCTATTATGCTGTAATCTTTTGCTAGTTTTTTTAATTACGCAAATCATTGTTGTTGCGTGCCTGGAATACCTGGAAAAGGCAGGGAATTCTTTTGGCCCTGGAAAAAACAGGGCCAAACAAATTCAGGGAAAATAACAAAATTGCATGAATATATTTAAGTTAACCTTACGTCACTCTTGCCGTTGGATTTTGTTAATTACTTTTGCCTTTTCGAGATAAGTTTCTTTCCAGGATGAAATTTTGATTCTTGTCTCTTGTCTTCTCTCACGGCCAAGGAGATACTGAGCATGAATTTTCAGTGAATAAGGAGTTTCTCATCGATAATGTGGAGAAATTGTTAGTGGTTCAGTGTCATGTCTGGGAAGGGGTTTAGAGCCAAGGAGGAATGCACCAAATTGAAATTATGAAACACATGATGCAGTATGTGAGAAACACGTAGGGCTGGAAAACAGTAAGGTGAAAGAAAGACTTTGCGAACTGAAGAAGAAAAATAATTACGAAACTGAAGAAGCAAAGGTAGAAGACGAAATTTGCATATACATTATTGTATTCGTGAGAGGGAGTGCTTCAAATGAAGTTTCTTAAAAACTAAAGTTTTCTGTAAAAATGAACTTCAAATTTCCCATTTACAGTCATTCTTAAACAATATTTTCATGAAAATGGCTCCCAAGTTTACAACAATAATTTTCTTGTAGAACAAGCTTGAAATCTTCTATTATATTCTTAAGCAATAGTTCGTTTCTACCCTGAGGAAAGCAAATTATTGAGAAAATTTCACAAGAAATGTACTTTGGGTGGCAATAGATGACCAGCTGGCAAAAGGATGGGACACTGAAAAACTAGTATGAACTGAAGAAGTTAAAAAACTAACCAGTACATGAAGGTCTGTGCTATTCTGTAGCACAGCTAGTTCCTCTTGCATTAGACCTTGAAGGCCAGAGCTAAATTTCACCTTCGCAGTCCGAGGGGGTTCATTTTGTTGCCGAAGTTTTTATTTTACTTTTTAAGTTATATTTATTTGAAAATCATTTTACTTCAACTAACCTCTTACCCTGATCTCTGAGTTACAATTAATACATTACAAATTTGTTGTCTACCAGTATTTATTGTAAACATAGAAGTTACATGCAATGGTTTATAAGTACAAAAAAAATTACATTAACCAAAATCAATATGTTTGAAACCATCATAAATACAATTAGTAATGATTAATGATTGACAGCTAGTATTTCTGACATTGATATGACACCATCTTTTTGTAGTGTTTACTGCATAAAATAAATTGCCCTTTTGTAATATGCAGCCCTAAGTGGGTGCATTTTGTACCCCAAAAGCAAAAATGCTTATTTTAAACCCGACAAATTATAGCAAAATTTGTAAAGGGCATTTATTTGATGCAAAATACTAAAAAATTCTGGTAGAGGAAACATTGACCCGTAAAAATTGACACAAGGAATTATATTAGCAAAAATTATATATATATTTATATATTTATGAATGTGATGGTTGGGTAGAACACCTTTTTTGACTTCCTTTTAATTTTAAATCTGCAGGAGTACCTAAAACAGAAAGATGCCCAGAACCCTACTGTTGATGAGAAACCAGAAGAGGAATCTCAGGAACATCGTACAATACGTTCTATGACAGCTGCTCTGTTTGCTAAACTGGATGCTCTCACAAATTTCCATTACACACCAAAACCGGTAAGTATAAAATACTTTGCAAGTAGAATGAAATGTTGATGGCTATTCTGAAAGAATGTTAATGGTGGGAGCGGCAGAATTGGTAAATTAGTATTATATGGATTCTCAGTTGGAAAAAAATCCAATAATTGATCAAAATTATAGTTGTGAATTTGCATTTAACCTTATGCAAAACTACTTTATGTTTCATTCATTTGTTGTTGGATATTCGGGGCTGATATTTGGATATGAAGAGTAAAGTATATAAGGGAACAATAATTGTCCTCTTAACAGTGGTGTTGCGTCAATGAATGTGAGTGATGGGTCACATCCCTTCGTTATTGAGTTGGTTTTGTCTTTTCTAATCTTTACAGGATATGTTTCTCATTTTCTTCAAGTAAAAATATATTGTCCTTTCTTTGGGCACTTCAGACCACAGTATCGGTGTACAGTACCAGGTTTTGTAACACTGTCACGTCACATCCATTCCTTATGTTCTATTCTGCTGCAAGGTCAGTGACCTTCAAGAAATTTGGGCCCAAATCACTTGTCTGATTCGATTCCGCAAGCTTATTTGGTATACAAACTTTGACTCCATTTATTTTTTCATTGGCCTCCAGGGGTGGTAGAATATGGACTTAGTAGTAGCACTTCACATTTTTTCACAAGGGTTTTAGCAGTTAAACATCTCATTAATATAACATTTCTTTCAAGCTTCTAGACAATATTGTCAAGTTTGAATTTTCATTAATTAGTGTCAATGAGGTTTTTATGATACAGAGAATAGAAATGTGCAAGTTCTCAGTGCACAAATCAATCACACAAACATTGAACTATGTGAATTTTAAATACCTTCTGATGAAGAATGTGAGAGATCTGTTAAAATAATCAAGAGGCCAAAAACAAAGAGCTGGACCGGATAAAAATCTGGTGACATAAAAGGGAATCTTCTTTTGTGGCATCAGATGAAAGATTAAGAATGGAAATTAAATGCACGTAGAAAGGCTTAAAAAGTCAATGACAGTAAGGGAGGAGGTTCAAAAAGAAACAATGTTACATGCAAAGATGAATTGTGGAGTGACAAAAATCATGATTATGAGGACTTTAACCCATTAAGGACAAAGCATTAAAATAATAATATTTAAAAAAAAATAGTTTTATGTATTTACTCAAATATTGCACTAAAGGATGAAAAAACTTATTTATAATTTTTGCTAGTTTATAATTTAAACGTAGTCAATCTACAACAAAATGTTGTTTATAAGCAATTCTGGGACAATACAGTATATCAAATCCTCTTGATATGGATGACTGAAAACAATTTGAATGCAGATAAACATTACATTTTCTTACATTTGTAAATTGTGGTGCTTTTGCACAATTGGCACCTCTTTCTGGCTTTGGTTTCTTTCTTTAAAATCAAATATTCTACATCATAATTGATGGACTGATGATTCCTGACATGTCAACTGCTGAGTTCATTATTCCCGTAGGTGTAGTGATTTTTTTATCGCAGGAGGTGTTTATTTTCCTCTGTTGTGTGGTGAGATCTGATGTCAACCTACCTGTCGGCTTGTGGGTTTTCCCGAAGCAAAAATCTAATAGTGGAGCACCTCCTCAGCTGGAACCAGTTCTAAGCTCCCAACTGTTCTCTCAGCAATTGTGGTAGTATAATGCTAGTAATGGGTGAGGATAGGACAAGGATGAGGAACAAATTGGCCCATTTATTGGGGCACTGCTTCGGCATTTGCCTAGTGTTGATCGCAAAAAACCAAAGAAAATTGCCGATGAGAATAGAAGAATTTTTCTGTCAACAGTAGCTGAACTTGACCTAGCTATAACCTTAAGACGAAAATCCTACCATTGTTGGGACTCCAACACTAGGACCTCCCAGTCAGAGGCACTACAGTGACATCAATTGATGCCCTGAGCCATCTATGTTGGTATTCTTACATCATAATAACATACTTCTTTAGGCATGGAAGTGTTTGTGGGTCACCCTAAATGGGATTTTTCAGTCTCCTGTGTATTCATTAAATCATTTTTGCAATCATTTCCTTTTGAATTTCATAATAGTCATGGCTAAGTAAAAACAAAATTACAGTTGTGACATCTTTTCTTCTTTTGCAGTATTATATATTTTCCATGAGTTGACAATTGCACATTCAATTTTTCTTTCACTTCTTCCTCCCCCCCCCCCCCCCCCCC